TTTGCAGAACCACAGCCAACCCAGAGAGCTCCACAGTGGAGAAGAGGGGTGTGCTGGAAAACTCCAGCCAACTTCTAAGTCACCTCTACTAAGTTACGAAGCAGCCTCACCAGGCAGCCCTGCTGGCAAAGCACAGCCCAAAGGAGATTCTTGTGGTCAGTTCCCAGAATTGAGGATTCCAGGGGTTAAAGGAGGCCTCATGGGCCCTTGGTCCAGCAGTACCCCTCTCACTCCCCTGAGTCAAGCTTGAACCCCTTGCCAAGTAACTGGGAAACCATTTCTTGACCACATCCTACCTAGATGGCAGCCCTTCAGAAATGTGTGGATGACGCCTGTGGTCCCTTGGGTAGGAACAGCCAGTTCATGGTGTGTGTTGGCCATTGTACTCCCTCCCAGGAGGGCTGGAAGGTTAGTAGCTTGCCAAGTAGAGTGATAGTTCCTGCCTCCTAACCCTGAGCTCTTGCCACCATACCCTGCTGTCTTTCCCAGAATTGACATTTCTGAGGATGCAAAACATGTGAGATTCTGGGACAAGCAAATGCCAGGCTCTGGGGACCCCAGCTGCACACCATCCCTTTCCCTCCTCCCCATGGCATTGGGGCTAACCTTTAGCTCCGACTGTGGAACAGAAGCTGTCTGCCTGAGAATTGCAATTTATTTAGTTCCCCAGAGGGCAGGGAGAGTCACCTCTCACCTCCACCCCGAGAGTACTTTGGTGAAGAATGCTGTGTGCTCATGTTCCTGGGTCTATGTGTACTGCTGTGGCTTGCATGTATTAACGCATAACATGTTGTTTACCACACATATCTCCAACAATGATGAGTCAGATACAGGAAAGGGGACTGATTATCTAACTCTGGGTAGCTAATCTAATTCTAGATATCTTAGAAATGGGTACAGGGACAAAGGAAAAGCTCAGTGGTGCTTTCCTTTTTAGTCTCCCTGAGAAAGGGAGGAAGAAGTTCCAGTAATCATCTCACATATTCAGTAAAAGGGTGTCCCTGTAAGTATTAGGTAGGTAGTTGTAATAGGTCATCCTTCACCTGATTTTTTCTCCCTTGGTGGTTTTATGGATGTTTTTGCTTGTTGTTTTTGTTTTTGTTTTTGCTTTCTCACATGGTCTAAGGCTAGGAGCTCCTTGCACAGGCTGAGTTCACTTACAAGGCTGTAGCCTCCATGGAAACAAAGGCCCTCTCTGCCTCATGTGCCCAGTGCAGTGCCTAGCATTCAGTGGGCACGTAATAACTAGATGTGGAATAGAATGGTTGTTGAAACTACCCAGGGTTAGATAATTAGATTCGTTTTTAATGTACCTGTATTTGAACCATCATTGTTATAGATGTGCATGGTAAGTAATGTGTATGCTTTACATATGCTCTTTTTAATATTTTAAACTTTCACTACACCCCTGAAAAGGCAGAGATCTCCACCTTGGAGATTAGGAAACTAAGACTCAAAGATCACACTCAGGGGATGAAGTTGCGGCTCAGTGGTAGAGCACTTGCCTGGCATATGTGAGGCACTGGGTTTGATTCTCAGCACTGCATATAAATAAATGAATAAAATAAAGGTCCATCAACAACTAATACATTAGTTTTTTTTTTCTTAAAAAAAAAAGACTGCACTCAGCGTTCAGTCAATGTGAGGCTGTGATTTGTAGACGATAGTTGCCCCCAGAAACCAAGCTAGAAAAAGCCTAGCTCTTCCCCACCAGAGAAGAAAGTTGAAGGACTTGCCTCTTGAACAACTGAAATAACATTTGTAAGTGTGCAGAACAGCTCCTGGTGCATAGGATGTACCATGTAAGTGCCAATTAAATCAATAAAAATGAAGCCCATGTCAATGAAAAAAGTTAGATTTTCTGACATTATTTTACTCAGCTGGAGTATACACAGTAAAGTAAAGGGGGGGGCAGGATGTGCTGTTGATGATCAAAACCAACACCAAGTCTGGCAAGGCACCCAGCACACAGGTGCTGAGCATCATAGAATTGGAGCACGTAGAGCAGGAGGAGCCTCAGACCACCCAACCATGGGATTTTAATCAGGAGCCCAGGTCTCCTTAGATGACCTATCTGTGAGATTCAAGGAGTCTATGCACCTGTTATAATTATACACAGTATACTCCAGCCCCTCCCCAAGTTCCAGGCGAGGAGAATTAGTGCAGCCACCCCTGCCCCATCGTGCATTCTTCTATCCCCAGCCAGCCTGATAGCCATCGCAGCCTGAGCGCACAGTGGACAGTGGGGTGGGGGAGACTGGGCACTGCAGGAGCAAGCCAAGCCCTTGCCATCCCATGCACATGGTTCTCCTTCACCTTTCAGGATGGGCCTTTTTTAGTGCCAGGCTTGGGAACACTGCCCAATGTAGCAGTGACCTGAGCCACCTCCTCTCAGGCTGCTCCTGTGGCTTTTTAGCCCCTAAAAACACCATCAGAAATTTGCCAAAGTCCATTTTCATATTCTAGAGTTTGTTCTCTTAAACTTTTATCCAAATGCCTAAGAATTTAAAGCAGGAACAGCAAAGATGCTTACCTCCCCTTCCGCCCCAGGATTCCCCTGAGGCCTCAGGAGTTACTGGCAGAACCTCAAGGTAGAATATGTGTCCACCTGCCAGGCAAAGCCATCTGGTTGTTGGTATTTGCAGAGTTTGGCAGCCCCAGCGGTCCCCAAAGCAGTCCCCTCGCTGTTGCAGCACCAAGATGGAAAAGAGGGAGACACCCGCCCTCTGGTGGTGATTTAAGGAATGACACCACCCTGAGAGCCAGCCCTGCATGTGCTACATGCCTCAGATGGAGGAAAGCACCTTCTCTAATTAAACAGTCGATGCTGATTACCCCTGTGGCCCATTAAGGCCCTTGAGTCATTAGTAAGCCACTCAGGGATCTTTGGGAACTGGACACATTTTGTTTTGCTACTAAAACACAGTCTCCTAGGAATGTCTGAGTCATTTGAGTTTTAGAGGAAATTTTATTAGCAGCTTGGGATTTCCAAATATGGGGTCAGCCAGAAAATGCACAGCTTCAGCCCCACCACTCAAGCAAGACTCCATCTATACTAGGGGCTCTGTCCTAGGGCCTTGGGGTCCATGTCCCTACAGCAGTAGTGTAGCTCTTCCCCCATCTCTGCTATTCAAAAAGAAGCTCAAAGCCCTGAGCCTATTTTGTCCCCATCCCAACCCCTTCACAGCTATCCACATAGCCTGCCTGCTTCGCCTGGCCCCCAGTGCAAGGTCGATGCTTCCCAACCCCTGAGCTCACTGGATCCCTGCCATTTCATCTCTCCTGCTCCTAAACCCCCTTTGCCATACATTGTTCACCTTCTAAGATACCTATCACCTCTTGCCCCATAAAGCAGTGTTTCTCACCTATACCACCGGGGATCTCACTAAAATGCACTCCCTAATTCAGTGGGCATAGGGGAGGGCTGAGTTTCTGGAGTTCCAATGAGATCCCAGGTGATGCTGATGGCTCTGGTCCATGGGTCCCAAGAGTGTCACGACCCAGGACAGTGGTTCTCCATCTCAACTGCACATTGGAATCACCTGAGGAGGTGACACACCACCGAAGCCTGGGGCCTAGCCTGGAGGTGGTGGTTGAAGGGGTGTGGTGTGCAGCCTGGGCACTGGGATTTTTATAGCTCTCTTGGTGGTTCTAATTGCATCCCAGGCTGAGAATCACTGACCTGGATGCAGATCCATGCTCCCACCCACCCCTATACCTCCCTGCCTCCCTGCCCAAGGCAGCCATCCTCACCAGATACTGATCCCTTGATACCATAACTATGGCTTCCTTGCCAGGCAGACCTCTGTCATCTGCTTCAGTGGAGTCCACTGCTGTCACTGGGAAGAAGGAGGGCCACACAGAAGTGATGTAAATGGCATCCCCTAGAAGTTGAGTAGCAAAGGGGCCTCTGTAAACTGACCGTCACACTGGCTCAGTAGCGACTGGTAGCTGAAGGCCAAGCTCATGGTGGGTGCCCAATTGAGATGGCATAGGAGTGAAAGAGCAGGACCAGAGCAGTAAGTCTCAATTTTGCAGCTGCCTTGCGATTCCTGGGGTGCTGCGTTGGTTGTGGCAAGAGCATTGGCAACACCAGCACATCTGCCCTGAGGGGTAAATGGTTGGTAAGCTACACCCACTGCTGTCCTTTCCCACATCCCAACTCCTGTCTCCTGTCCTTCTAGTGCTGAAGGTATTTAGGGGGCTGAGTAGAATTTGACCAATTACAGTTTTTATTAAATGTACAATCCGACCATGCCTGGATTGCCCCCCGGTTGTTTGCAGGCCTCACTCCCTTCAACTTCCTCAAATGTCACTTTCTCAATGAGGCCTACCCTGACCACCTTATTTAAAATGTCAGCTCACCCTTCACCATCCTAATCCCTCCTAATCCATCTCTGGCCTTTTCCCTACAGTGTCTATCTCCTTGTAGCATGCTGTAGCATTCATGCTCCTTGTAGCATTCAAGTCACGTTGCTGGGGTTCCCTTCATTCCCTTCATTCAACAGTAACTTGTTCCATTTACTGTTGGACTCTCTTCCACTAGTGTGCAAACTGCCCAAAGTCGGGGAGTGGGGGGGGGGGTCCCTGTTTTGCTCACAGTGCCACCTAGCACCAGGTGGGTGTCCAGCATGCCTGTAAATCATGCTATCTGCCTGGTCTTCTACCTGGCTTAGATTTCAGAGCCAGGCCAGCCACTGGCTAACTTTAGGCCACAGGTGACCATAGATACCTGTCTGCATCTCAAGACGGGGGTTGGGCCTCTTACAGTCCCAGCTACAAGGAAGGCTGAGGCAGGAGAGTAGTTTAAACCCAGGAATTGGAGATCATCAGCCTGGGCAACAGAGAGAGACCCCAGCTCAGAAAAAGAAAGATCTGTCAAAAGAAGAGGGAAGTTGCCAGGCACAGTGGCGCATACCTGTATTTCTCAGCGGCTTGGGAGGCTGAGGCAGGAGGACGGTGAGTTCAAAGCCAGCCTCTTCAAAAGCAAGGTGCTTAGCAATTCATTAAGACCCTATCTCTAAATAAAATATAAAATAGGGCTGGGGATGTGGCTCAATGGTCAAGTGCCCCTGAGTTCAAACCCCCTAAAAAGAAGAGAATCAATCTTTACACATTTTAAACAGCAGCACAAAGTAGCCTTTCCCTCCCACAGCAGTGAGTGAAGATTCAAGTCACGTTGCTGGGGTTCCCTTCATTCCCTTCTCCCTGTGGGCCTCCCCTCTCAGGGTAGAAGGGGCTGTCTCTCCGGGGAGTACCCCACACTCATTGGATGCACACGGTACAGGGTGGGCAGACATTTGACTGCACCTGTTGACCGTGAGGACGAGGCTCCCTGCCCAGAGGAGACACTCCTGGGCACACAGCCTTCACAGCTGCCCTTTCTATTTACAGATTGGCTCCAGTTCCAAATAACAATGAGATGGCATCAGTCTTAGGGGCCACCAACATTGTGGTGGGTCTCAGGGAGGATGTGGGGTTGGAGCTAGGTCTCTTCGGGCCCTGGAAAAGACAGCGCCAGCGGCCATGGAGAGGATTCATAGACTGGGGCTGGGAGGAAGGAAAGTTGCAGGGGTGCTGAGGTGGGGTGCTGAGGCAGCTGGGAGGCTGGGCAGGTGAGAGGTGTGAAAGATGAAAATAGAGACGAGGGGGGTGGCAGGAATGTCACATGGTGGGAAAAGAAGCAGGGGAGTGAGACAGGTGGGATGGATCCGGAGGTGAGGAGGGCATTGATGAGAGTCCCAGAGACCTTAACGTTCAAGGGATCTTTGTGTGGCCATTGCTCCTGTGGGCAGCAGCCTTCGGCTTCTGGGGGCCTCCAGCCGGCGGGCGCGGGGATGTCCCTCTGAATGCATAGTGGAGGTTTCCCTGTCTGAGTCCCGCCCTCCTGCCCATCTGGGTCAGGCGGCCTTCTCACCTGGCTCCTTCTTGTGTCCGAGGCTGCTCCTGCATTTCTCTGACTACATCACAGCCATCCTCACCGGGCCCCCTTGAGATGCTTGGCTCCGAGTTTAGACCTGCAAGATCTCCCAAGTAAGGATACAGGATGCCTAGTTAAATTTTGAATTTGAGATAGACAGCAGATAATTTTTTTAGTATAATGGATCCTCTGTAATGTTTGGGACACACTAGGATATTGCTCATTATTTATCTGAAATTTGAATTTCACTGGATGGCCTGTGTTGGATCTGGCAACCCTGCTGAGCTCCCTGAGGTTTCATGGTGTGGGGCCTGCCTGGTAGCCTCTAGCTTGTGGGTTGGCCCTGGGTGCCTACAAAAAAATGGAAAGGTGCCTCTGTGGTGCTCTGAAATCCATGAAGGGGCACTTGCGGCATCCATGGTCTTCACCATCTGCCCCCCACTGAACTTTCTCCCCATTTTCCACTTATTCCTCAAGAGAAGCCGTCTCTTCTGACCTGGCTAGTCTCCTCATCCCTTGTCCCATGCTCTTGGGCCATATGGAGGTCCACATCAACCACCCCCCTGTCCAAAACAACCTCCTTGCCTTCCTCCATCACCTGTCAAAATCCTCCTCTCTCTCTTTCTGGGATTAGCTTCCCAAGACTGGGGACCAAACCCCAGACTCTGTATCCCACACAGAGCCGAGGACCAGCCTGCCATTACCAAAGTGTTAGAAAATATCTAGGAAGGCTTGAGTGAGCCCAGTTTCTTGAAGAGCGCTGGGCCCTGTCCTTCAAGCTTTTCCTGGATGGATTGTGAGGAAGAACTCTCCACCTGGAAGCATTCGCAACGTTCCTTCAAAGAGAAGGGAGAACCTCAAAGCAAGCTGCCTTCCCAGCCCAGTGATACCCTCGGGATCTTCAGGAAGTGGGCATTGGCCCCCTTGCGGCAGGCTGCAGCAGATTTGCTCTCTCTGGATGGGAAGGACAGGGGGTGACGGGCCATCAGATACTTTACCACCATCATCATCATCATCACCACCACCACCACCACCACCACCACCACCACCACCACCACGCCATTTCAGCTACATTGCGTTTAACAGGTCAGATACATTCTCTCATTTAGCTTTCAATAACCCTATGAGTTAAGGAGTATTATTCCTATTTTGCAAACCAAAAGCAGAGTCTTAGAGTGGCCCAGTACCTTCGCATATGGCCCCCAAGTGGCCAAAGGTAGAGCCAGAAGTAAGGACTCCCCGGCTGGCACTGTGCCTCTACAGGATGCCTGGTTCTTCCTTAGCAAGGAAGGGCAGTCAGGTCCAGCCTGTAATCAAACTATGACAGTTGACCTCGGCACAGTCAGCCTGGTGCTCCTTGCCCACCTTAGAGGTGCCCCTCTTGTGTTCCTGAGGAAAGAGGATCAAATACCCGAAGGGACCCAGGCAGCTTTTTTTTTTTTCCTGTGGGTCCCTCCCTACTTCAAACCTACTTTGAAAATAGTCTGTGGCTTCATCTTTCCTGGGACTGTTCCCCATCACCTAGTCAAGGGTGCCCCAAAAGATGGTCCACAGAACATGAGTCCCACCAGGCACTCTGTGACAAAAGGATACCCTGGCCCAACAAGCACCGAAATGTCCCACCTAGAAAAATATCCATGGAACTTTATTTGACCCAAATTCTCCCAAACTTTCCCAACCGTGGAATTCTTTTTTTCAAATCAAGTAACAACTTGTAACGTTCTATGGAACTAGTGTTCTGAAGACAACCTGCTTTGAAAAACAGGATGCTAGTTCAAGTCTTTCTTTACATAGCTGAAAAACCGGAAAACCAATTCACTAATTCCTTGAGCATTCACTAAATGCAAACTGAGTTTCTCCTAAGTGACGAGCTACGTTCTAAGATACACAGAAAAAGAATAACAACTCGTTTTTGTGTAGCGGTTGCCACATAGGCACTGTACATTTAACCCATGGGGTGTGGGTTTCCTACCCATTTTAAAGATGAGGAGACTGAAGCACAGGATGGTGCTGTGAGCTGCCACAGTTAGCATGCAAATCCAGCTCCATCTCTTTATGACCCTACCCAGTGGCCTCTGAAGTAAGATCATGTTCATGGTGAAGCCACGCAGAGTCCAGGAGGGGTATGGTTTGGGGTTTGAGGCAGGGCTGTGGCCGGGATCTACCCTTGTCCCCTTCCATTCTCAGCCCCTCCTCTCCCTGCTTTTGTCCCCACAGGTCTAACTGGCTGAAGCCATGCTGTGGGAAGAGAGCAGCCGTATGGCAGGTATTTTTGCTCAGTGCAAGTCTCAACAGTTTCCTGGTAGCCTGTGTAATATTGGTGGTGATTCTCCTGACTCTGGAACTTCTAATAGATATAAAGCTTCTCCAGTGTGAGTAGCCAGAGAGATACATATGCAAATACGTATGATGTCAATATTCACTGTGCATCTGCATCCATCAGGGGTCCCCAACCAGCATGCCACTGCCAAGGCGCTGGCCCAGGGGGCTCATGGGGATTGCCGCTGGGGAGGAAATGTGTCTGGCAGCTTCTCTCTTGGTCAGCAGCATTTGCTCCTCTCTGCCCAATGTGTCCTCTTCAGCCCCCTTCCCCAGCATTCCATGATCAGAAACTGATGAGATAAAAATGTTGGGGACCCCTGTGTGCATTTTATTTTTTTATCGTTCCCATTTAGAATTTTCCAGGTTGGAGGGTTTTTTTTTGTAGTGTAAAGAGAGTCCTCATCTGTGGAGGCATATCACCGTGTGGTAACTAATAATGACAGCAGCTACAATGAGGCTAAGATTCCCGGGGTTTGTATGCAGTTGTAAGTTGGCAGTGTTACTTATATGTAGTGTGATAGTTTTGAAAGAACTTTTCCACACATTTGATCCTAGGACCCCCCTGTGAGATGGGCAAGACTGACATGATTCTGTTTTATGGCAGAGTACATTAAGATTTGGATGAGTTAAGAGACTTGCCCTAGGTCAGAGGTAGCAGAAATGGGTCTTCCAGTCACCGGATCACTTTACTGCTTGGCCCGTCCTCCCGCGTAGGTCCTCTCGGGATTTGTCCTCGCTTCACATTTGCTGGAGCCTGATGTACAGGGCAGCAGGAGGCTTGGCTGCTTCCTCTTGTCCTGGCTGTGGCTCCTGGCTATCAGGGTGGAAGGCCCACTTCCTGCCCAGACCCTTGCTCTCTGCCATTTGGTACACCAGAGGGCCAGGGACCAAGGGTCTTGACTCCCTTGGCCTTGAATGAGTAAGTGGTTTCTGGTTGGGATCCCGGTTCCCTGTTTTCCTGATTCAGAAAGTGAGTCATTGAAGTGAAAATAAAAAAGAGGTGAAATTATTGGCCCCCGAGAAATTTCCTTCCCCGTCATTGACAAAATCCAGGACTGCAGATTCAGTCACCCCAAAACCCATTTGGTTGTTATGGGCTCTGTTTTCTCCAGTGCCCTCAATTCCTCTACTGGATCATCCATCGTCAGGGTCTGTCAAATCTTCCCTCCAAGTCACATTAGCCTCCTCTGCTCTCTAAGTGAGGATGACGGCGAGCACAGAATTGCTTTTGTCTGATAAGCCTAGTTGGGTTTTATGCAGCTGGTGGCCCCTTGGTTCCAATTAAAGGATCTTCCAGCGTAAAGTGACCAGCACTGGGTTTACACTCAACCTGTCTTCAATTAAACCATGTTGTAGACTTTCCCTCCCACTCATCCATACTGTCTGCTTTTTATGAGGTCTGACCATAACGGGGTCTTTCTTTCCCTGTGGTGGATTGTCGTTGGGGCCCTCGGCTGCGAGGCATTGAATAGAACTGAGAACTCAGCCGACACTGGAATTTTGCTTAAAATTAAGTATCCAGGAGATTGATTTTGGTGGGAGATCCAATAGCAGCTCATAAAAGGCATCTTAAATTCCATAAAATGCACAATCAGAGATTTATTGCTCTTCTAAAGCAAACCGTAAAAAAAGGCACAGGAATTCATTTGAGAAATAATGGGGAGAGATTTTATGTTTTCAGAATCATCTGGAGGTCTTTTCAGAGTCACACAGGCCTCAGCCTCTTGGTTCCCACTGGTATTCCTGTGGCTGGGGAGGGGAAGGAATCCACAGCATCTCCAGGGCTCAGCTTCTGAGGGTCACCTAGGCCCAAAGCCAGGGGACCCCAGGGTCTCCCACCTGGAACCTGCAGCCTTCTCCCCCTTAGATTCACTCCATGACCTGGTTTTTACACACCCCAGGAGTCGCAGAACATAAGGAAAGGCCAAAGGTTCCTCTTTGAAGCCAGCCCTCTCCACTGAAGGTACTGGGCCTCTACGGTCAGCTCTAGGGGATTCTGAACAGCACACCAAGCAGGCCTGCTAGGGAGGCAGTGCAGGCCTGTTGGCAGTGCATCCCTGCCCTCTCTCTGCTCTGTCCGCTGCCCTAAGATGTCTACATATCTCTTTGAGGCCTGCCTCTGGGAGGAATCTCTCCCACCCTTTCTCCATCAAAACTCACCTGACCCTTGCCACAGCACCCACTTGTGGACTCACTAACTGGTAAACTAGACCCTGCTAGGGCTCGGAGGCTGGTCCTGGCTTCCTGGACTTTAGAAGACTCCCCCAGAGACGGCACCTTCACTTCTAGGACTGTTAGCAGACGGTGGAGTTGAAGCCGTCAGTGGCCAACAGCTCCCTGCTCTCACTCCAGAGCCTGGAAGGTGAATGGCACTCTGGCAGCTCCCAGCCCACAGGCTCTGCTAGTTTCGTCCCATGTCTAGCCCCTCTTTCCGGCCTCCCTCCAGCCACCTCTCCAAAACATGCTGCTGATGCGACCATCTCTGCCACTCAAAGTTTCAGGGTGATGGTCCAGGAAAGCTGCCTTGAGTCCCGCTGACAGTGCACAGTGCTTTGGGGGTGCACTGTGCTGTGAGCTTCTGAAGCTCATCCAGGCTTGACTGAGCTGCCCGCACAGGTCCGCTAGCCACAGGTGTCTTTGAGAACCCCCTCTGGAGGCTCCTTTCCTGAAGTCAGGCTATGGCAAGAAACCCACAAGGATTGAGCAGGATCTCAGAGAGGTGGCCTGTGGGGAGCAAAGAGCCCCGGGGACTGGAGGGAGAGCAGCCCACAGCACCATTGGCCACCAGGCTCCCAGACCTCCACCACAGGCACTTCTAAAGCTGCCCTTCTTCTCTGACCCAGTTTCAACCAGAGTGGGCCCTAGAGTCCCAGAGGTCCCCCTTGATGCTGTGAAGCCCCCCTACCAATGCACCTAATTCCTTGCTCCTAAAATTGGCTCTTACTATGTTCCTTGCAGTTTCCAGTGCATTCCAGTTTGCCAGCGTCATCCACTGGATCAGTCTGGTCATTCTGTCTGTGTTCTTCTCAGAGGTAGGTAAAAACTTGGGCCCTGATGCCCCTTCCTTAGAGCAACTCCTTTCTGGGAAACCAAGCTTTGCTTTTCCACATATTTCTTATATGTCAGGCCCTCTGTTAGCGCTTGAGGCTTCAAAGAGGGACACAATCCAAGCACCTGAGTTCTATAGTAGGTGATGGCTCAGGGAGGAGCCAGAGACGCACAGGAGCGTCCGCCAACCCAGCCAGGGAGCTTTGGCCTGAGCAGGTGACCCCTGAGTGGAATCTCAGAGCATGAGCAGGGGTTGTCCAGGTGAGGGGTGGGCCTTGTGAAGGTGAGGCTGAGTAGGCAGAGCTGAAGAATAGCATTGGTTGGTGTGGCTGGTAAGGAGCAGGCAGGTCGCGACTGAAGCTAGAGATGGGAAGCAGCTAGGAAGGCCACAGTCAGGCTGACCCTAAGGCTGAGGCATGCAGAGGACAGAGGATGCGGTCACCAGGCTGGACAGTGGACTGGAGCAGGCCCTGCCAGGGGCATAGGGTGTGACTAAGCCAAGGGTTATGTTTCTGAAGTGGTGAATCAGGTCTCCTTGGGGTTTCTGGAGTTAGTGGATAAAAACCATGTCTGAAAAGCTACTGGAGGTTCCTGGGCCTCTGGGTCCAGGAGTAGCCCCCGTGTGGGGACTGAAACGCTTAAGAAACTGGGATTCTAGCACATTCTTCTATTTTTACGTGGGCTGAGTGACTTCTCTTTTGAGCAGTTGTCAGGCCATCACAGTGGTACTCTGGCTTGCATTTGGGGGACACTGGCTTGGAGCTGCTACAGGCAGGACCTCCTGGAGGGGCTGAAAGTTTGAAAGGGGGGGGCGGTCCTTGAGGGTCAGGAGAGCATCCTGTGGAAAAATAGTTCCTTCTAATAGAGTCGAGGGCTGGGCACGTCAGCTGGCCACTGTCCCACTCCACTCATGTGTCCCCACCTCTCACCACTGGTACACATCAGCCCACAGAGCCCCAGGGGGGCCTTTTAGAGAAAAGCAGACACAAGTAAGGCTCAGAGCCTTCTCTCTCTCTCTCTCTCTCTCTCTCTCTCTCTCTCTCTCTCTCACATACACACACACACACACACAAACACATTCAGCTCTTCTACCTTGAAGGCACAGGGCCCTGGACCTCACAGTACAATGCAGCCTCAGAGGGAGGAGGGTACAGGGATGCTGTAGGAGAGCATGGGCTGGGGGACAGAGGAAGAGAGCATTCTGTGGTACGATCAGGGAACCCAGGGAGTCAGGAGTCCAAGGGCCTCCTATGGGCCAGCTCTGAAGGTCCAGTGGCCCTGATAACTCTCTCCCTAGAAAAGAGGGGAGAGCTGGGCCTTGGGTCTTGAGTACAAAATCCCGAGTCTGGGTGTGGGTTGTGCTGGCTGCACAGCAGAACATTCTCTTCCCCAGGCTTCAGCTCCTGCGGCTCGTGGACTTGGCCGGTGAGCCTGGGCCTGAGGCTCAGACTGCGGGAGCAGATCCCAACCCTGTCCTCCTGGGAAGTTTCCCAACGAGCTCCCTGAGACCACAGCCCTGGGGGTGCTGCTCCCCGGCTTAGTGCCCCTATGGGGGTTCTGGCCTCCCTGGCCCTCGTCTCTTCTCTCTGGGATTCCCTCCCACAAACACCTGGGCCAGGGCCAGATGGTTCCTTGATGCAAACCTTGGAAAATGTACCATGTGTCTGTGACTGCCAACAAAAATGTTTAATCAGTTGCTGTGGTTCTTCCCCTCTATCCCTCTGCTTTGGTTTTATTGGCTTTTGCAGAATTTATTACCCAGCGTTAATTTGGCATTCCCTTCCTGTCACTGTCGGAGACGAGCCACCTGAAACAGACAGGGGCCTGTATGCAGGAATCGCAGCCTCAGAGCCCCCCAGCAAGCACCTCCCAGAGTGTGGACAGGGCTGGGGCTTCCCACAGGCTCTGCAGGGGGAGCCAGGCCAACAGAGGCTGGTCCCTGCCTTGGTCTTTGTCGAAGTTGGTAAAGGTGGACTGAAGCCAGCAACACAGCAGCAGGGCTGCCTGCCTCCCCCAGAGCACCCTGCCCAGTGTGGATGAAGAGGCTGGTGCAAGGTGGCCTCACATGGGAACAGCCTATCTAACCAATATAGCCTCACAGAGCACTGCGGGCAACCAAGTTTCAGAACTTTGGTGCTGGTATGGTCAGAGGGGTCCCTGCCCCAGGTTTGGAAATGCATGAGGCTGTTTGTGCTCACAATGACTGGGGTCCTGGAATAGGAAGGGCTGGGGGAGCCCAATGTCCCTCAGCAGCCCATCAGACCTGCATGTTTGCCTGTCAAAAACCCCACACACATCAGAAAAGCAGCCTTGAGTTTCATGGCCAGTTATAGCCAAAACTGGACCCAAGACTCTGGTACTTCACCTGGTCTCACACCACTGACTTCCTCTGTGGGCCTTGGTGCCAGCAGGTTGGGAGGGGACTAGGAATCTGGGGTAAAGTCCAGGACCAGGAATTAAGAAAGAAAAAGTCTGACCTAGCAAGACCTCTGACCAAAACCCAAGAACAACCAGCCCTCCTTCTTCCTCTGGGAGAAATGAATGTCACCCTTCAGATCTGGCCCCTTCTTTCTCTGGCAGGACCCAGGGGTACAGCTGAGAGCCAAGGGTGAAGGGTCACTCCAGGCCTTCTGGGCCTAGTGAGTGGGCTGTACTGCACATGCAAATTCCCAGAAGTCTGCACTCTAAGACTCCTGTTCCATGGAGCCTTTTGCCTGTCCTCTTGCCTCAGCCGAGCCTCGGACAGCCCTGTAAAGAAGGGCAGAGCATGTTACAGATTAGGAAGCTGAGGGCTGGAGAGGAGTGCAAACCTGCCAAGGGCATGCAGGAATGCCGTGGAGAGCCAGATGCAGACCTGTGTTGGGCAAGCTGTCCACTGCCCTGCCAGAGGACAGAGCTAGCCCCAGAATGGAGGTGAGAGGCTGGTTTGGGCTCAGTTGGAGGACACCTGTTCAAACAGTCCACACTGTTGAACAGTAAGACAGGTACTTCTCAAGGGAGTGAAATGGTGCTCAATCAGGAAGGCCAGGGGTGGGGGTAGTCTTAGTAGGGGCCCACAGTGAGAGGGGGTACCCACAGGCTTTCTGGGCCCTGCTCAGCTAGGTCAGATGGGGTCACTGCCCTTCCATGTGTCCCTGCAGCACCAAGAACAAGCAGAGCCTTTGAAATCCAATGGAGAATTGTGCAAAAGATTTTTCCAAAGCACAGCCCCGCCCTTGGCCAAGACCTGGCCCAGCTGGCCACTTGGAACCAGGAGGCCTCACTCTTCCTGAGATTGCACACATTCTTAGGACCTCCTGACCAAGGCCAGGCCACCCCACGGCAGTGCAGGCCATGGGGTGTTGGCCCCATCTTAGGGTATGGAAAGGCCTGAGCAGCCCCAGCTTTTTCCCCTGGAGAGGACAAAGCTGACCCATGGCTGACCTTCTAGATAGGAGCCTCAAGGTGGTGGCAGTGGTGGTAGCAGTGGCAGTGGGGTGGCTGCTGCTGCTGCTACTTCTCTTCCCCTTCCCATACCTGCTTCCCTCCCCCTGCTCCCGCCTCTGCCTCCTTCGCAGGTGGGATTCCCACAGCATAACTCTTTCTACATTCAGTGCACACAGCTGTCCTGCAACCATCATCTCTGTCTAGTTCCAAAGCATCTTCACCACCACCAAAGGAGATTCTTAGTCACTAGGCAGCCACTCCCTGTGCCCTCTCTACCCCAGCCGCTGTCAACCACTCATCTGCTTTCTGTCTCTGGAAACTTAACTATTCTGGAACCATATACTATGTGGCCTTTTGTGTCTGGCTTCAGTCACTTTAACATAACGTGGTTTGTTCCCACCCTAGCAGGCGTTAGTACTTCGGTAATGTCCGAATGATATTCCACTGTATGGATGGACCACATTTGTTTATCTGGTCATCAACCCATCAAATCTTCTCTTCACATCAGCTATTTGAGCCACCTCCTTCTCCAGACAGCAGCCTCTTAGGGTTGTCCCAGGGCTGCACTGGGGTCACACAGGAGCTTGGCCTTTGGGCTACCTGTACCATTTGCCAAGAGACATCCATTGCCAAACCAAACAGCAAGGTCCTTATCTTTCGGCATCAGCAGCCATTCCAAGATTCTGGATACTAGGGGTCTTTCTCCTGCCTATGCATTCTCTAGAAGGGCTCTGGTGAGCTTCCATCCCTGGCTGAGAGGGGAGAGGGGGATGCTGTGCTCTAAGCTCTGAGAGATGAAGGATGAATTCATTCCCTTCAGTATCCAACTGAAGGAGCCAGTCACCCTGTGACCTTGAATAAGTCACTGTCCTGGCCTGTTCCTTGCTTCCCCGGCATCGAAGTGAGAAAACCCAATCTCATGTCTTCTTGACCCTCTGGAAGGCGGGGCCAGTGGTCAGGCTTCAGGGAAGAGGTTTTCTTTTCTGTCTCACCCTCTCCAATGTTGAGAATGGTGCAGGGAAGTCAGGGTTCCAAGCCTGCTGCCCTCTAGCTGTGAGAGCCCCTGCACAGACCCTCCAGCCCTGTCTGTGGGGTACTGGACCAGAGGTTAAAACATTGGAAAGGACTTCTAGCCTCACTTGGCCATCCACAGAATAAACAGTAGCTGCCACCTGTTAGGACAAGCCCAGCAGGATTGATAATGCCTGACATGGCTCTGCCAGAGGAGGACGTGGGTGGGGACCTCAAGCAGCCGATGTTTGTTCTCTTAGAGTCAGACCTCATTCTAAAAGATTCACTCTTCCTCCCCAGACCCCAGACTCTGCCTGCCCTGAGTGGGAAGGCACTGGAGCAAACCTTCAGAATTCCTGCACAGGGCCTGTGCGATGCTTGGTTGGAGATTTTTTTTTTTTTTTTTTTTTTTTTTGGTACTGGGGATTAAACTCAGGGACACTCAACCACTGAGCCACATCCCCAGCCCTATTTTGTATTTTATTTAGAGACAGGGTCTCATTGAGTTGCTTAGCATCTCGCCATTGATGCGGCTGGCTTTGAACTC